TTTGATTTGGCTACTGGTTTTTTGGATTGATTTTCAAGTACCATTTTTCTAAATTGAGATGTCATTTGTCCAATTTCGTCTACTTTTGATTCTATTCTATCAATTCTAGTGGATTGGTTTGTTCTTTGAAAAGGTTTTTTAGGATAATGTGAATCTAAATCTTCATTACTATATATACTTAAATTGTTAAAGTATTTTGTTTCATAATAATTTTTATAATCTTCTGTTTTTAAATTTGATGGGGGGCCTCTTGACTGTCTAACCGGTTCAATGGTTTGCAGAATTGGTGCCTGTATTTTCTGTGCTTTTTGTGATTGGAATTCCTTTCTTAATTTTTCTATCTCAGCATCATAATTGGATTTTTGTTTCGCTAATGCCTTATCAATCATTTTTTGTGTATCAGGTATAGGAAATATTGATTGCGAAATTATAAGAGCTTCTATTATTTTGGTGTTATAGAAAGATTGTTGAGAAACTTGATCATTCAAATTTGGTGTATGCTCTAACCACATATTTTTTAGTTTGGTAAAAAATTCATTAATGCCTCTTGGATTAACAATTCTCATCCAAGTATAAAAATCATCTGTCAAATGGCTTTTTAGAAATCCTAAAACTTGTTTATTATTGTCTGCTACTCTTATTATTAATGGTCGAATTCTAGCTTCATAGGTATCTGAAGTGTCATAGGGCTGATATTTTTCCTGAGTCAATCTTTGAATAGCTGATTGTTGATTTCCAACAGTATCCCACAGGTATTTTGCTCTTAACCAACCTCGTAATGTATCTGGAGAATTTATAGCTGGATTTCTTGCTACAAGATTATTATTTGCTGATACTGGTGCATATTTTTCACCCATCATAGATTTTAAATATTATACTTGACTGCATCGTTAAAATCCCCTGCATTTGCATTCTCAAGAACTTATATATGTCCTTCAAGATATGCCCATGACTGAATAACCTTATCCAAGTATTCATCAGGTGGTTCTTGACCTATGTAAGGCTGAAATTTTGCTAAAGCAAATGCCATTAATTTTAATACTGGTAAACGTCTTGCTTCTGTCATGTTTAATAGTGGATTATTCTGTAGTAATAAAATTTGTCCCCGTAAATTTAAAATTAATTGCTCAGAATTTCTTGCACGAGTTTTCCATTTACCCCATTTATTATCTAACAGCAAATCACAAAGAAATAAATCATCTTGGCATGTATCCAACCTAAGTTGTAGATCCCTACCATGTGTACGACACCTTTGTAACTGTTGAAAATATTGTCGGTTTTTAAAATTAAGTGTAAGTTTTTCAAGCAATAAAGTATCAACACGTTTTTGCATCCCCCTTTCTAATTGCTTAGCAATCCCCCACCAGCGACGTCGCTCTTCTTGTTCATTATTGAAAGCTTGGATAGCTAAATCTCGTTCCACTTCAACATTTTGTAAATTATTGTTTTTACGGCGTATTTGTCTTGTAACCCTTTTTATTTGATTAGATAAAATCTCTCTATTTGTTCCTGGATTATCCAAATATCCATCTATAGTATCGGCTAACTCGACTATTGTTGACATTTCTTCTGATATATTACTGTCTTGTGAATTTTCATCAGATTCATTTTCAGATATTATAACATTAGAATTCCATATTTGTGAATTTTGTAAAGCTTCTTGAGTATTTATAAGTTCTAATTTATCCCGATATCTTAATAATGCTAATGCAAAATTTTGACAATGTAAATCAGTTATACGTGCTTTTTGCAGATCTATTTTATTATTTCTATTTATAAGAATATATTGTAATTTACTTATTTCACGCTTAAGACGCTCATTTTCATCTACTAATTTTGATGTATAATTCAATGCCTTGGGGGTATTACCTGCTGATTTGGATATTTCTCGAATTCTGATTTTTAATTTTTTTTCACATTCATCAAATTCCATTATTAACTTATCCTTAATAGATATTTTTTCATCTTTTTGTTTATTTTCTTTTTCAAGTTGTTGAACAATTCTTTTTAAATTTATGATTTCTTTCATCATTTCCTCTTTTTCTTCATTAGAAAATTCGATAGTATTTTCTAGTTCCTCTTCAAGAAATCGGATTCTTTCTTCACATATAGCAATAGCCCTTTCTAAAGTATATACTCGTTGTTCTATGCTCCTATTTGATTGGGCTAAACGCGATATTTCCTCATGGAGCTCCTGATTAGCTTGTCTTAATTCTTCCATGTTTTTTTTATTAACTATAATAGATTAGAAACGAAGTTTCATTGTTTTTCAATAAGTAATGAAACAACCTGTAATTTATATTGATCCACAGAAGGCCCGTGAATTGGATAGGGAGATTGCTAAATCTAAAGAAATAAAAAACCGAAATTTAGTGTTACGGAAGTTATATTATCAACCTGAGGGTTACTATCGGTCTGTGGAAAAAATACATGATGCATCACGTAAAGCTGGTTATAATTTTTTGTTAACTGATATAAAAGATTGGTTAAATAGACAAATCGTTTTTTTGGTTCATAAATCTCGGCCAAAAATTATTCAGTATGCTTCTTTTAATAATATACAAAGATTAAATGAAATGCATCAATCTGATCTTACTCCAATGCCTTATGATAAAATTGGAAATCGAGTTTTTAAATATAGACTTGTAATAAAAGATGTGGCAACTAAATATCGAAAAAGCTGTGCATTAACTAATAAATCCGCTTCTACTGTAGCTAAAGCAATTAAGAAAATTTATGATAATTCTAATAATCCTCTTTCTTGGTCTAATGTTTTTAGAACTGATAAAGGTACTGAGTATTTAGCTGAGTGTAAAGATTTATTATTAAGTCATAACGTATATTTCAATCCTAAAAAATCCAAAGAAAGTAATGCTATAGCAGAGCATGATCATCAAGAATTTGAAAAACATGCTTTCATTCGTCAAAATGCCATAGATTTTTATTTACCTATGTCTAAAGATGGGTCCCTAAATTATTTGTGAGGACATAATTCAAATGTCCCTTATTATTAAAAATTTTTATTTCTATATTAAGAAATAAAAAAAAACTACCTACAAAGATTCTTTATAGTTTTAAGCATCTATACAAATCATTTTTGGAATTATGTCCCTATTGAAATAAAAAGCTAGAAATTATGTCCTCTAGGAGACATGGACGTAAAGGGACGTAAATTTTATATGCTAAATACTTTAGAGACCCATCTTTACCTATGTCTGATAGGTCTAGAGCATGGGTTAAAGGTCTTCGTATTAATGATGACATTTATAATGATACTCCTACTCGTTTAATTTATATGTCACCTAATGAAGCTGTGAAGAGAGCATTAAAAGGTGAAAAAATTATCACAGATCCATCTGTAAAACATCGAAGACCTATTGGATTTAATGAATCTCGATTAAGCTATAAAGATTCAGTTTTATATTTACTTGAGCCTGGTGAATTGGAAGGTGGAAGAAGACGTGCCACAGATTGTAATTGGTCTTCTCAAATTTATCATATCAAAGAATCACTGGTACAAAAAAATCAACCGGTTTTATATTGGTTGGAAGATATTGATGGTAATGGACCAAAGCGGTCTTTTGTTTGTGAACAATTATTAGTTATTCCATATAATACTGAATTACCTCCTAAATGGGTATTGCAGAGCAATGGTTCTTCGAACCTACTTAAGAGTTAAGCCATGCTTGGAGTTCTTCTTCTCTTTTCTCGTCTGTAATAAAATACTCTTTAGCGATTTTGTAAATTAATTTGAGATAGTTTAAAATAGCTTGTCTAATTTTCGGTTCACTTTTATAATAGGAATTAGAAAATGCTTTTATTTTTGTATCATATATCTTTTCATTAGGAAGAAGTGATCTAGTTTTATTTATAATATATTGCTCTTGATCTTCTGATTTACGTAATTCATCAAGTTGTTTTTTATAGTAATCCATAAATCCTATATTTTTATTTTTATTATAGAAAAGGCCAGCTCTTAATATATCAATTATGGATTTTTCAATATCTTGCCATATTGGAATAGAGGTTTTGATCTCTGTTGATAGTTGATCGATATTTTGAATAGTAGTTGACATTTGAATATGTGTTATGTTTTGATTATCTAAAGTTTTGTATATAATACTTTATAAAAGTTTTTGTTTAAATAAATATTTCAGTATAATAAAAATGATTGATAAATATACTTGCCCATTCTATCATAATTCAGGTAAAGTTTGTGGAAGAAGCTGTATGCGTCCTGAAGGATGTAGTTATCATTGGAAAGCTAAAAAAAGAATACTTTGTATTGAATGTGATAAACCTACTGGGTCAATTTCTGGTCAATGTCCAGTGCATGTTAAAGGGTTTTATGTTGCTCAATACTATAATAGGCTTCGATCAAATACACAAAAAAGACCTTCTGAAGAAATAATTAATATCATTAAAGTTATACTTGCAAATATGCGAGAAAAAACTTATGAGGAAATAATGGATGCTCATAGAGATAAGCTTACAAATCTTAATATTACTCTTTGTAAAGAATGCTTACTTCTGATAAAAATAGAAGAGAGAGAATATTGCAATAAGTGTCAACCCGATCTGATAATATAATAGTTTATGTGCTATATATATATTGAGGTTAGACTTTGTCCCAACTTTTTCGATATATATGTATATTGAGATTAGACTTTATATATA